ATACCATTTGTGGATTTCCTTAGTTACTTTGGCTAGATTAAGACTATTGCAGATCAGCTGAAGGCTTGCTTAATAAATATTACAGTTCTGCCTCGACATTCAGCAAGGTTCAACTTGTACACATCCAAATAACAATTCAGAATTTCATGTTAAGCCTAATGTCCTACAACAAATGTCCCAATGCAGCAAATCATCCTTCTACATTTTAAACTATTACTATTTAGACTATTACAAAGGATATTTCCTTGAAGAAGCCTCAGTTCTTTCAGAGACTTTTCAGACTTTGCAATTGTGCCTTGAATTGACTGTCATTATTTTTACAGCAGAATATACTTGGCATTTGAAAGCCTGATATGTATGCCATATGTCCTAAAGAGTCTTGTATATTACTGAGTTAAATAAGTGTAAGAGAATAATTATGACAGCAACTGCTGTAAAAGATTAGAAAACTGGCAGAAAAAAGCACAAAAGGAGAAGGTATCAAGTTCTCGCAGAATGTAGGGAATGTAGAAAATATAAATGAATTTCTAAGGCTCTGTAAGCAGCTGATCTTTAAGGATATACTTAGATATGACACATTTCCTAAGGACCAAGATGTACAGTGAACAACTGCCAGCTAAAAAAAGAAACTTATGATCATTAGAATATTTTATATACCATGTGAAGATTTGATTATTTGAATATAATGAGGAAGTTGTCAGTGAATTAATTTAGAAACATATGTAGTGGGAATTTCACATTTAAAAAAAACTCAATTCCAGTTTTGATTTGAGGTCAAGCTGTTTGCATACTACAAAAAGGGAGTTTCCAAAGCCTGATTCATTGATTTGTTTCCATCCTTCTCAGCCTGCTTCTTGCTTGCTATTTGCATATCTTCATGTGGCTAGCTTTGGCTTGTATTGGTATTTGAGCAGTAGCTGAATATCATCTAAAAGTCTGCATTCACATAAGAACTATCTGTAGAAGAACAGAATAATTTAGTTTTGTCACACTTTCTTATATTTCTGTTTGAGAGGCTCCTTAGTGACTGGGATTTACATTTTCACACAGCACAAACAGTGATTGTCAGCAATATGCAAATTACAAGCTGAAATTTGAAAAATTCTGGTGAGCAGAAGTTCTAATACTTTGAAATGTTTTGTTTTGACTCTGCTTGGATTTTTTTTCTTTTATATAGCTGTATGTTAAAACTCTGCAAGTAATGTAGCATATTAAAATTAATATTGTGTTGTAGTATGAATATTTAAGAGAATCCAATCATTAGAATTGGAATAACATAATTTTTAAAACTTAAAAAGTCAAATAAATTTGTTTTGTCTGTCTAGTAAACGTATTTGTTGCATAGTTTCTTTCAGAAATGGTTTCTTTTAGACTAGAGAATCTTTTCTGATGGAAAATTGTTTCCAACTGGTTCTACTTACAAACTAAAAAGTAGTCCTGAGTAATCCTCTATTTTATTGTGAACAACTAGTTTAACTAGTTGTTCTTTAGAATAATTCTGTATAATTATGCTTGCATTGACAGGTTTGCTGAAGCTAAATGCCTTGGAGAAAAATTAAATGAAGTGAGAATTAAAATAAGTGAGTACATTTTAACTTCATTTTACCTTTTAGCTGGTGAAATCACAGCATTCAGAGGATATGGAAAGAGATTCTAGTTTCTGAAAGAAAAGAGTTAATGCATTACTAAGATTTCCAATAAGGTAAATTGTTAGCTGATGATAGCAGTGATAATTATATGTACCAGTTTTGATCATTTCAAATACCATAATGTGAAAAACAGCTCCCTTCTTTACTTGACAAGATGTTTGAAATTTATCAAAAGGAGAAGTTAAGGTATTAACATTGGGTTTTCTGAATTTTGTTTTGGGATAAAAGGATCCAAAACCATAATTGTGATATCTATGGATTAAGGATTGTATTTATCTACAAATTTATATAGCTTCTGCTAAAAGATTTCATTGTTGAATTACCCCTCTGCACTTCCTTTGTACAGATTAATTAGAGCAATTCAGAGGAGTGCCTCAGCCTGGTGGGGTTTTTTGTCATTTTTTTGCTTTAGGGCCCCAACAGCATATGCTTGGTTTCCAGTTTCAGATTCTTCAAAGCCAAAAATCACCTATAGATACATTCAACCCCAAGCTGGGTCTTAGCTGATCCTCCTAACAGCCTTTGATATGTTCCTAGTTGTTTTCTGAGTTCTGTTGATTCCAAGCCTGTAGCTTCTTTCCTAAAAATTGGCTAGCCAGGCTGTCAGATGTGAAACACAGTTTTGAGCTCTATCCCTTGTCATGACCTGTGCTGGACAGACCAGGGAGGGGTTGTGGTGAGTTCGGAATTCCCTTGGGCTAAATTAAGGTGAAACGATACCAAATAATCAGTTGAACGTTTTATTTATGGCAGAAGCAGCCTGAACTTGGGAGGTGTAACAGTAGGTAGTGTGGTCTCTCACAACAGGAATTGGCATGGAACTACGTCAGTAAAACGTGTAACACGTGCTAACCATATAAGTCAATTCAGAGAAGACAATAAGGAGAGCCTTCCCATTGAGTCACAAGTTTCAGAGTGGACCCCCTTGCTTTCTAGACTCTTTCTCACAGAAGAGCCTAGGGGCAGCTAGATCCACTCCTAGTCCCAGACTTGGTCAATGGTTTTCTCTAAAGGGATGAGGTGCAAGGATTATAAAAAAGGAGAGAGAAAGAAAGAGACGGAGAGAGAAAGAAAGAGACAGAGAGAGAAAGAGGAAAAAAAGAGAAAGATTTCACCAGCCCTGCGTCCAGCATTGGTCCAGCCAGTCTAGAGGTCCAGTTTGGGAGGGCATGAGTGTGGGGCTTCAGTTTGTGTCCTTCTATAATCTCCTTGCCCCTCCTTTGGGAGGCACTTGAATTCATTGGCTAATTAGGTGTCATGCACGGTTTGTGCTTTCAGAACCTTCAGGAAATGGGTCAGTGGCTTGGGGGTCGTTTGGGGAGTAACTTCTCCTTCCCTGCAGGCATGACAATTGTTTGATCTTTGGCCATACATGGTGAGCTGCCCTGCTTAGCATATCACAACATGGAGCTGCGCATCCTCCTGCATGCCCTCGGTGTCCTGTTGCTGGTGTCCTGTGCTGATCCATGCTGATCGGCTTCTCACCTGCGGTTTGTTGTTATGCAGGGTTTGTTGTTATGCAGAACTTGCCACACCACAGTGTTTGAGACATTAACTCTTTCAGTCTCTCACATCCCTGAAGTCCTTAGAGATCACATCCATGTCCTCCTGTATGCACACATTCAGGTGAACCAAGTCTCTTCAAGCTTCCAGATACAGGCTGTGAGGGGCTAGATTTAAAGGTAATCTGGCATCCAGGTCCAGTGGCGTAGACCATGCTCTCAGTTTCTATCTCCTTCCTCTTTGGGTGGCACCAGCACAGGCATGGACAATGAAGTCATTATCATCACTTCTTGTCTTATAACAGCAGTTGGCTTCTGGGAAAGGACAAAAATCTCACGGCACTCGTGACAATTGCTCCGTACTTTCACCACAGCCTTGATTATATTCTTTGTGGTCATGAATGGTAGCTACTGCCAGATTCCCCTCCCAATCACCTTCGGGTACACCACAATTCCCTCAGAGATATTATGCAGTATATTTAAAGTTATGTCAGCTCTGCGGAAAGCCTCAGCCATGTTGGCACTCTGTTTTCAAACCGCAGCACAAAGGATGTTTGGAAGGGATCCAGAACCACAGACATCAGGTGCTGAGCCCTGCTGCAGCAGTGTTCTGAACACTGGGTTATTTCTATAAGACATGACACTTGAATCAACTTGCTTTCACTCAGTACGCTCATTTTTCTCCTTTAGACTGGCCAGAACATAAATGTCAGTACAGAACTTGTGCATGGATATCCACAGATTGGCCCATGCAAGTAGAATTTCAATATCCACCTTGCAACTATGGGTCTCTCCAGTGTCCATATAAGCTCACTTAAATCCAGCCAAGTAGGCTTTTCTCTCCAGTAAACTTGGAAAAGAAGGATAAACCTACTCTGGAGGACAATGCCAAGTAACAGGAAGCATCTCCAAGGTGAATAATACCTGCAGCTTTTGGCCAGTGGTGTGCACAGGTATCAACATGAGCCATCGCATCAGGATACAACCTCTTTTTCTCTGCTGCCATCTTGAAGTCTACATTGTCCTGATTTACTTCTATCTCCTAGCTTTACTCATCCGTGATAAGCCCAAAAGATTTCTTGGCCTAAATGAGGTAGATCCAAAGTCACCACTGAGTGTCAAACTTCTTTCTCTTGCTGAAGTTGAAATCCATTTTGGAGCAGGCATAGTGAAGACCAGCAATAAGCAGCCACACACAAGCACACCTTTCTCAGTGCCTGGGGCTGCAATTGTGCTGCTTGAAGACAGGAGCCTAGCAGCCACCTTATATACACCTTATATGTGTTGCAAATGTCTTAGGGGGAGTTTGAAGGGTGTGGGAGACAGTACAAGAAGTGGTGGGACACATGCCAGTCCCGAAGATACCACTTGTAGTGTAAGGTTGGGATAAGACTTGTGTGGTCTGTAAATCCCTTGAGATTTACAGGAGTCTGCTGTGGCAGCTCTCAGAAATAATGTAACAAAGCAGTGTAGATGTAGCCTCTCAAGACTCTGTTTCCATGGGTGCCAGCAAAATCTGAAAGAAATCCTGGGTTTGGAATGAATCACTGTGGGTTTTTCCCCAGTAAGTTAGGCAAAACTTCTGATAGCTGTAGTGCAGTAGAGTATGGATTGTGCTGCAGTTAAAAGCATCTGTTTTAAAATTTGGTCTTGGTTAAAAGTTCTTCAGTGTTAGAAATGAAACAGTGAAGTATATTTGGGGAAGATGAATGATACAAAAATCAGAGCACATATTCATATGTATATGTAACCTAAAAAACCAAACTGATCCCTTGAACAAAACAAGCAGCTGTATAACAAATCGGTAGTATTGCACTGAATTTGACAATGCTTATATGCTTTCTACAAGAAGTTGTGATAGCTTGTAGTCCACATGAATATTGAAAAGCTCTTTTAAGAATCAAACTAGAAATGTCTCCATAGTTCTAAGAAAAATTGCACAAAATTACACATTTTGGTTTTGTTTTGGTATATAAAGTGCATTTACAACTAAAGTGTTTTCAAATTAAAAATTAATTTCATTACTCTCCAATTTTTTTAATGGTAGTAAAATGGAAAAATACTCCTTTCATTTAGTTCATACTGTAATCCTACTGTACAAACAAGAGATTCCATCCATGTTGTATCCTTTTATAGCTATCCATACACTGATCCATGCAGATTATGCAGAGGTACACTACTTTGTGGGTTGTTTTTAAACACCGAAGTCTGAGGCTTGAGAGTGATCATATTGTGCAGTCCTTCCTTCAATTCTTTCTGTATAACTTTATGCAGCATGTGAAAATTAGCACTCTGGTTAATATAAATACTATATTGTATTCATCTATCCTTTTCTCCTGTCCAGCCTTCTTTTGATCATAGTTGTTAGTAAACCTACCTATTAGCACCTCTAAAAATTATTAAACCTTTGCATCCAGTATGACTCTTTCGTGCTTATTCAGTTTAGTCAGTACAATTATGCTAGTTTACGTAGTTTAGCAGCCTGAAACAATTTTTCAGTTAAGTCTGTCTCATCATAGCATACACACTCAGAAGACCATTAAAGATGCTAAGTAAGGTTACTAACCTGCCAAATTTTTACTGAAAATGTAGTAGGAGATATAAGAGTCATCTGTGGCCTGCAACTAGATATTTCATTTACTTTCATGGTTGTTTCAGTTTCCTTAAGCATTCCTGGCTGGCTTGTTGTGCACAATCAAAAACAGATCCCATCAATATCAGTTTCTGTTATTTCTAAGCTACACTTAATAGTATAAAACTATGCACCACAGAGTCCATAGAGCCCATTTCATGCAGTTTGATTATATTTTGAGATAGTGACAGCAGTTGGCTGTAACTTATGTTATGAATACCCTTTCATTCTGACTTTGGAAATATTAGTGTTTTGCAGTGAAAAGTACAAAAATACTCCAACCAATTCTCAATTACACTTGCATTTCAAAATCATCAGGAAGTTAGGGCTAGAAAAAGAAATTTGCAGTAAGATTTTCATGGCAGGCTTTTGCTGCTGTTATTGCTTGCATAAAAAGATTAAGGAAAACAATGTCTAGATATAAGCTGGAGTTTAAGTGTAAAGTAACTGCAACATCAGAAGTGAGACATTGTGGCTAGTATGCCTTTTTGCTACTATACCACATATTCCTGGATCCTATTTCCTTTTATGTTTAATAACACTGCAGAGAATGCAGAGATTTTTAAATTATTTTTATGGAAAATAATATGTTTGTCTTAGATTTTTCATTATGCTTACTTTTCACAATGACCTCCTAGACTGTTTACTGCATTATCACACAAACCTGCAAATAAAGGAGCAGAGGGCTTTGGTGCGAGCATTGAGGGGCACTTCTTTTTGAAAGTCAATATACTGCATAAACATACCATCAAAAGGCAGAGAAATGAAGTATGGATTTTGAACATGTAGACATGTCT